ATACCCCCTTAACCGGTCTACGTAAACCGTTACGCCGCGATTGTTCACTGTAATTGTATATGTTTTTGCGCCTCTTCGCGTTACTTTAAACGGCCCGTCGTAAGGCGGCTGTAGAGGGTCTCTAATCGCGCCATATCGTAAGAATACGTACGGCAAAGATTCCAACTCGCGGAAAATGAATATTTTCTTTTAGCCGTGTCGTGTAACAGGCTATGGCCTGACTTTCTCCATCCGTTCTTTTAGCAGGTTCACAAATGCAGAGTTGGCCCGCTGATTGATTGGTAAAAAGAACTCCGCCGGCAATCGTATGCCGGTGCCGTAGATCATTTCGGCTGCCGTTGCGTTGAGGGCCTCCTTTATCGCGCTTCTAATGCCTAATAGTACGATTGGTAGAATTTCGACCCAGTTGCTCGTGTCGTCGCACTTGATTGCTGCTTTAAGCTGTCTATGTAAGCGCTCTACCATCCCATTAGACGCGGGATGATAGACCAACGTGCGTAGATGGGTGACGCCAAGCAACCGGCATAACTCTTTGAACAGACGTGATTCGAATCGGCGTCCCTGGTTGGTTGTTATTTTTACGGGAACGCCGGGGCAATCTTTGTTTACAGACGGCCATACAAAGCGTGTCGTCACCAGTTTTTGCGTGGCTTGTATCCCCGGATGGAAAAGTCCGTATAACGACTGAAATACGTTGCGTCGTAACGGTCTCGGTACGAACGGCCGCAAGGTTCCGATCGAAATGTCGCAAAATATTTCCACGTCGGAAAATCGAATTTTCTCAAACCGCAGCGCGCGAGAGTCGGAGTTGAGGATTTGGCATAGAGTTCATTGTCGCTTTCTTACATTGCTGCTAACGTTCGGTGACCTACCGAGTTTTCGACTGTCTCGATACGGGATAGCATGTCAGCTACCTCGTTTTCTACGCCTTTTAAGTACCGGATGCCGGTTGTAAACTGTGCTATATAGTCTAGGTAGCGAAATTGTCGCGGCGAACATTTTTCCAGTTTTTGACGAAACGCGTAAATGAAGGGTTTGTGGCCGGTATAGATTATGAAGTCTCTACCTTCAACAGCGTGTCGAAAGCGTTTTACAGCGTTGTACATCGCGAGCAGTTCGCGATCGTGGGCACTATACTTTTGTTGCGCAGATGTTAGGGATTTTGTAGCAGACCCTAGCGGCTGCCATTTGTCATTCGCGCGTTGTTGTGAAAAGACTCCTACTATGTAGTCGAGCGTGTCTACCGTAAGGCTGACGGGCGCATCTGGTATTGGATGCGCTAGCATCGTGGCGTCCGTGAGGGCACGTTTAGATTCTTCGAAGTTGTTTTCCGCGTGTTTGGACCATTCAATGGGCGCGTTGCCCTTTTTCGCGTCTTTTAACAGGTCGTTAAGAGTTGCAAAATTTTTGCGGCCCTCGATATGAAACGTCGGTAGAAGTTAATCATACCGAGGTACCTGCGTAATTGTCTTACGTTCGCGGGCTTTGGGATATTGATGATCGCTTCGACACGTTCAGTCGACGGTTTGATTCCATCGGCGTTCACGGTGTATCCGAGGAATATGATTTCGCGCGCGCCGAATTCGATTAATGACTACTCCGCAATTATTGAGGCGGTTGAATAATGTTCGCAAATGAGGAAATCGTCAATGTACGCGTGTTGTCGCAATGTTGCGAGAATGGTGTTGTAATTGCCGTTTTTTCCACGTTTTCTGGCGCAATTGGAATTTGGTGGTAAGCGAACGAGATCAATTTTTGAGAATATGCGCTCACCATGTAGATGGTGGGCGAAGTCCTCTATGTGTGTGGCGTGTACCTATCAGGTATCATGCGAGCGTTTAGCACACGATAGTCGCATGGTCGCAGGTGTCTGTCCTTTTTCGGTACGACGTGCAGAGGTGATGTCCATGGACTTTTCGATGGTCGCATCACGTCTTGCTCAATCATGAGTTCAAATTCCGCTTTCACCTGCTTGAGCCGATCCGGTGCGAGGCGGCGGAGTTTGTTGTAAACTGGCGGGCCTGACGTGGTTTCGATGTGATGTACTACGCAGTGTCGAGTCTTTTCTTTCCCGTAAACCGGCGGACGAGTGAGGCCGGGAAATTCCGCCAGTAGTTGGTAATACGCTGAATCACCGCAGATGGTTTTTATAGATGGAACATTGTCCGTGGCCGCGTAACCCTTCGAAGATAACTAGGTCGTCGTATCGAGAAGTCTTTTATTACATGGATCCACGAGCAACGCGTAGTGACTTAGAAAATCCATACCGATAATAGGTGTTTGGACGTCGGCCACAGTAAAATGCCACTTAAAGGCACGCCGTAGGGACAAGTTAAGATAGATCGCGACGGTCCCGTAAGTTGCGATTCGTGTCCCGTTAGCCGCAAGTAACTCGTACTCAGTTTTTTTTTAAGGTCCACGGATTTTGCTGCGCGGGTAGACACAAATGTCGGTGATGGTGTCTACCAGATACGAAATGCGCGCGTTTTTATCGAATACGAAATTGCGGCGGAATATCATGCGGTCGTCATTCGCCGCGTTTAAGGACGGCTGGCCCCGTTTCCCGAATTCCAATTGCATGGTAAGTTACATCTTATCGCGCGTTCTCGAAACGTCGCGTGGTAAAAACATAACCCATCTTGTCGCGGCGGGTCTCGAGATCTCGAACGACGGCGGTATCTCGTACGAGAACGTGCTCGTGGTTGCGGTTGTCGACGCTTATCCATGCACAACGCGTTCATTTGCGCTTGCATCTGATTCACCTGCCCTCTCAACGCGCTGATGGCGGCGGCGGTCGAATCGCTCGTCCCGACGTTTTGTGCAGATGGACTGCTTACCGCTGTTATTCGATCTGTGCTGACCGCGACAACCTGTCCTGGGTCCGGCCCCGCAGGGAGGACTTGTTTATGTAAGTCTACGGGGGTTGGCAAACTCACGTTCCCGCAACCAGGGAGGACCATCGGGACAAGCGTCCCGCTTATGTGAGTCCTCTATGTACACAGCAGGGAAGGTCGTCGGAATGTAAGGTGTTTAAGTACGATTACACTCTCTCTACGTGGCCTTGAGTAGTAGCGCAGTCAGGATCCCGATGCCAAGGATGATACTGTCGAGATAAGATTCCGGGTACTTTGTACCTTGAGGACCCCGCTTACGTGAGTCCCATCTGGAACTGCCGAGCACGGTTAGCATCTTAAGGTCGCGATGTGTTGTTTCTTTGGTAACATACCAAGGTGCATCTATTAAGGATCTTAGAGTTTTTGTTTGGAATCGTTGGAGAATTTCTATGTTGAAAATACTCGCTGTTCCCCATAGTTGGATCCCATAGGTCCAAATGGGTTTTAATATGGCTTTATATAGCATTATTTTACTCTGCATGTTTAAGTTGGAGCGTCTGTCAATGAGCCAGTAGAATTTTTTTAGTTTTGTGTTCAGTTCTTTAGATTTATCTACGATGTGCCGTTTCCATGTCATTCTTCTATCTACAATCATGCCCAGATATCTGACTGTATCTGGAACTGGACTGTTTGGAAGTGGAATATTATTTATGGTCACCTGTGGGCAGGATTGTTTTCGCAGCATGAAAGTTATATGACTGGATTTATTTTCATTTATTTTGAAACGTCATTTGTGGGACCACTTTGCTGTATCATCAACAAATGTCGCTGTGGTTATCTCTGTTAAAGTTGGTAAATCGGCAGTGTAGATGAACAGCGAAGGTCCGAGGACACTGGCTTGGGGTATGCCAGCTTCTATTGGGGATGTTGCGGTTATAGCGTCTAAGTATTTAATCATGAACAGCTTATTGGTTAGATATGATTTTAAGATAGAGTAGTAGGTGTGTGGTAGGATTTTCTTTAGTTTGAACAAGAGTCCTTCAGAGCAACATTTGATTGCAGAGCTATATTTTTTCTTTTCTAAATCTTGGCTGATTTTATGAGTTAGACGATGAATTTGCTCAATCGTCGAATGTTGCTTCCGAAAACCGAATTGATGATCTGGCATTGTTTTCAAATTCTCTAAGAGTGGAAGGAGTCGTTTCGTTAGCATTTTCTTGAATAGTTTCGACAAAGTGGATAGAAGACTAATTGGACGATAAGAGCTAGTTTCGTGTATTGGTTTCCCAGGTTTAGGAATAAGAGTAATTAATGATATTTTCCAAGACTTAGTATTCAAGGCGAAGAATTGCATTAAAAATGGAGTTAATGAGGGCAATCTGTGGCGGATGAAAAGAGAGAGAGAGTGCGTTTCGTCCCGGGACTACCGGTGGACTCGTCAGTTAGGCTATGCCCAGTAGTCCCTATGTTAGACGTAGAGGGAGTCTCGCTAGGTGCGGTATTTGTATCAATCGCTCGTATATTCGACCGCTAGCGAGTTAGACAGACTCGTTGTCCTCGTAGCCCTCTAGTATTGGCGGTTGGTACCAGCGGATCGCCCGGGAGGTGTTGCGCCGCGTTGATGCCTCGACCTGTCGGCGTCCTATTGATACCGATCCGCCACAAATCCCTTTTATGGGAAGCTCCTTGATAGCTTCGTTACTTATCTCATCATGTCCCGATGCTTTCCTGAGATTTAGATGACGGATTAATTCTATAACTTCCAGAGTTGAGAAAGGTTCATTAGGAGGAGACATCTGGTAGGGAGAGTGCAAGTATTCCATTATTTCGGCGGTACTAGTGGAGAAAAACGGTTTGAAGACATTAGTTAGGTGACTTGCAAACAAGTTGGCTTTTTGTATAGGGCTACGCGCCCATTCACCTTGCGCACAGCAAATACGATACTACATTGATAACAATTCATTAATTTTGCTTTGTCCAGAAAATAAATATTTTATCGTTGAATCTCCTTCTGTAAATAAAAATGTATTCATTGCTTAATATAATATCTGCCGAACATTGTCTGCAACCATTACTAATTATCTTTTATTACAATAAAATTCAATTATATTTACTTCAACCGTGTTCCTAAGAATTAACATTTTACTATTAAAAGTAAATATTTTTATAGCGGCTAGTGTCATACGAATGATACAAAAGTCACTGAAACCAGAAACCTTCAAAGAAGCTATGTACCTGTATTTGGACCGACATAAATACCGTACTGCAACTCCAAACGATCTTTGGAAAGCCTTCGATGATGCGATGATGAAAACAAACGATTTAAACCCCTGGTTGAATATGTCAAATTTCATGTCTGGTTGGACTAATACAAGAGGATATCCGGTTGTCTCTGCGAAGTCAGAAGAACATGCTATAATATTGTCACAGGTATACATTAAGGTCCAGTACAATGGAACTTCATAATATAAATTCCATTTGTATAACGAAATTTTAGTAATGCCTGATTAACTGAACTTTAGTGAAGCTCCTATAAGTATATTATCTGAACTATTGCTGAGCGTCAATCCACTTCTATGAACGAAAATGTAAACGGTAGGAGCACGCATTATGTTACACACTTCTATACTTCGCAGTCGATACAAGTTGAGTAATTATTTACAGAAGAGTACTGCCTGCCGATTTCGATGACCTTGAAATATGTTGTTAGGAACATGATTCTAAACAGGGTCAGGAAATTTAAGGCAGCCGAATTAAGACGAAAATCAAGAATGAAAAGATTGTGCTTTTAGCTTTGTTTTTTAGTTACTGATAATGTTTTTAAAAGTTACACTTCAGATATTGTGGCTGTCCCTAACTAATATCAAAAAAATTATACAAGGAAATGACAGCATCAGTCACGTAGGAGACACAAGAAATCACGAAATTGACCGGTGATCTTGCGTTATAGTTCGAACGTTTCACAAGTAAGGTAAAAAATTTGGACTTTAGATATGATAGTAAAATTTTATTGTACGAATCCAACAGAGTAACGATTCAGAGTGTTATAACAAAAAGGTGTTGGGTGCTGATTTGTGAAGGTTCTTATACTAAGGTTTGGTCTCTCTAGGGGGGGGGGGGGGGT